TAATTTTTTTTTTTTTCGAAAAATTTTCGACCCTGAGAACAAGTTTAGGAGAGGGCCTGCCGACCCTGAAAGGGTTAAACAATTTGCAATATAACTGTGGATAAATCTAGACTATTTTCTTCAAGCTCAGGTTTTCCCTCCAAGGTGAGACCAGAGTATGAAAGTATGCACAAAACCAATAAACTGATGGGGGCTGGGTTAGCAGCCCCTCTTAGTGGTAGGCAATAAAAATGGACAGGTGCTGGACCAAACAAATCTGCAATTAAGCAGACTTGGTCCACTTTATCAGTGAAACAACCAGGCCAAATAGCTGTGTGATATAGTGGCTTTAGTCTACTACTGCATTGCTACTGTAATCAGGCACCCCATTAAGCAGACATGTTGAGCCTTTGTCAGTTTTATCCAATATTATCTTCTTTGTGGGGATCTGTTTTATCGAAGTTTTACTGTATCTTCAGCATACCAAAAATATTTCAGCATTTAACTATAATGAACATATCACTAAGTAAACACTAAGTTGACATTGCTGCACTCCTAGTCACTAGCATAACACTACAAACTTCTACAACTTCCCAGAGTACATAACCATAAACAATTGCAGACCTGATCAAAAGTGTGGGGAAGCAGCAATTGTATTCATTTGACCTGCACCAGAGACAAGCTCAGTGAATACATAACTGCAAAATTCACAACCAAGAACTTAAAGACCCCACTAACATTAGGAGCTGTCTACAGGTCACCACGTACAAACATAATTAACTTCGGAGAGCACTGTAAGGACCTAATCATTAACAATAAATTAAATAAACAGCTGGAGATTTTTATATCAACCTTATTTAATCAGAAGACTCCCCCCCCCCCCCACCAATAACAAGTATATACACCCCTGCTGGATGCTCAATCCCCTAAAACTTAAAAGCCTCTTGTACCCTTTCTCCCCAACCATTCCTAGGATGACCCCCTCCCCCTCAATACTGTCCACCCCAGATTTATACATCCTCTTCATCTACCTATCACTATTCATCGTTTCTACATTCCCAAACCACCTCAAGAATCCCTCCTCAGCTCTCTGAATTATACCCTTAGTCACTCTCACACTGGCTTTTAATTTCTACACTGAATTTTTTGCATGATATTCACGCCACACACTGCATGATATCTTCGCTGCCTTGATCCTCCTTTACACTGCAGCATTCAGAAACCATGCATCATATGCACATAAAAGTGTTGGCACCACTATATTCTGGTACAATCCCTTTTCTGCCTCCAAAGATAAACCCCTTTTTTGTTACAAATGATATATACTGTAACACCAACAAATTGACACATGGGCAGGAGGATAAGTCTCTTAGCCTAATGCAGAGACAAGTGGCCAGAGGCTTATACATATACTGGAAAGTGAGATTTAACAATTTGGAGATAGTCACTGGTGAGATGGGCCCACATTACTGTATGGCCGCCATAGACAATTTTTGGTTGTGTGGTTATGGTACCATCATTTATAGCATTATTCGGATGTTAGTTTGTTGTCTCTGTTTTTAACTGTTGACCTGCAACACTGCGGTCACAGCAATTGAAAGTTATTTTGACTTAATCGCTTGAAAACTGTCTCTGCATTTGTTAAGAACAAATTAAGTTTCAACCTAGGTGATAGGGAGGTGTTTTAGTACAAATTGCTCCTGAATATTTGAGGTGCAGTCAGTAAAGTTTTGTTTTATTACAGAGTATGGGATGATGACTGTTTTATAACTCAATGTGAAGAACAAACTTCACTGAATAGTGACAGCTGTGTTACCAACAGAGTGGATATCTGTGACAGTTTGCCTAGTCAGCATCATTTACTTTAATATCTCACTCTCTAAAACACTGAATGAGATCTCTTGACCAATCAAGGTCACAAGTACTGTGTAGATGGCATGGTCTGTAAAGTAAGCCTCAGGATTTGTTGTCTGGAAGGTGAAGAATTTTGTTTATTGTCAGTGTTCAAGACTTCTTGCACAGGGGATAGTTCTTAAGTGATGTATTTTTTAGTGTGAGAGCAAGTCATAGCTTCAGCATCATTTTTCTGTTGTCAAGGTCTTTTGACATATGACCATTTAGCCAGTGTCTTTTGATGTGCAGACAATCCATGAATCATTGATGTGTCATGGAAGAAACCTGTTCCATGGTCATGGTAGAGTGAGGAGGGGTCTGAGGCACCTGAAAGAATTGGTAGAATGCTGGTATTGGGTTTGGGCAACCACTTTATTGCTATTTCCAAGACCTGAAGAAGTTCCATTGCTGTGAATGGGTCAGTAGAGGGTGTTGCAGTAACTACTAATCCAGAATAAGAGGTCTCATTTATCACGAGGCAGAAAATAGGAGGCCACATTCTCACCCTGAACCACAATTACCTCTACTGTAACAGACATTACCGAGTCCTGGAAACAAAGATAATACCTTCAGAATGGACAGAAAGACTTCACAAAGCCATCTGTTTAGACAAGCACTAACTGCACAATTCCCTTACAGTTAATAATGGTGGCAGGATAACTGGAAAGAACACTGGGAGACATACTTTCAATCACTGCTCCTGGATCTGAGGGCACCTTGCACAACTACTTTCACCATCCAAGGTGGTCATGCAGTAAGGAGGCTGCAGGGTGAAATGATTACAACAGTATAGCAGACCCCAGCTCAGTGATCTAGACAGTGACTGGAAAAGTGGTTCATCAAGCACACACAAAAAAAAAAAAAAAAAAAAAAATTTAGACTGATTCTTATTTGTTAAAATAGATGTCCATGTTATAACTTGAAATGAGGGCCGCAATGATAATATTCCATACCTAATTCTTATTAATTTTTCCATAAAATTTAAAAAAATATGTACGTACTCACCAAAGATGGGTCTTATATTTAGTACAAGAACAGTACTATCATACCCTCCATTTCATGAGCACATAAAAAATTATAAAAACATTATAAAATTATCAAAATATCAAGAGAACTTTAGACAAAACATGTTTGTTATTATTAGGTTGAAGGGTTTTGATGGCCTCTGTCGTTAATTTGTTGTGTTAAAATGTTATGACGACCTAAGAGTTATTGCAACCTTTTACCCAAACAATAAGAGAGCCTAGGGACAAATACAACCTTTTAGACCAGTGATTCCCAAATTAGGTGGTGGAAAGATCCAGGGAAGCATTGAGGAATTTTGAATTTGCAGTAAACCTAATACCAAGAAATGGTGTGTTGGTATGTGTGTGGGGGCAGTGAGGGGGTGCACTAGGAATATGGCCCAGGAGCCAAGGAGGTGGCAGTCTGAACTGCTGCTTTAGACCAAAGTACATGTGTTTCCTGATAACTTCTCTCAGTATTTTGAAAATCATTCCAAAATACTCATAAAACAGGGTAAAACATTACTATGCCTCTACTAAACAGTGAATTCATCTCTGAAGAAGGCAGCGAGGAATGGCGGATGGCATGGGTTAATATGCCACTGTTCTCTCAGACATTTAACCCTGATGGCATAGAAGAAGGTAGAGGATAGGTAATCTGACTGTCAGATGCTGACCCAGAAAACATCAGATTTGCTCCAATCTGTGATTTATGAAAAGTAGTAAGGACATCTCAAAGTTGGGTAAGCTACTGGTGAGTACATATTCAAGGTTACAAGTAGTGCTGTATTGGTGAACATTATTTGAGTTAGTGTCACCATAAACAAAATAAAAAACAGCTGTCATAATGTTCAAGGGAAAGCACTAAACTTACAAGGGTCATACAATGCCTGAGGAATGGGAGGATATTAGACTGCATACAAGAGGAGGATAGCTCTATTTACCTAGTTCGAAAGACCTTTACCAGCACCAAGGAACCCTCTTAGGAGGGTACATAAAATAATTAGGCAAGGCAATATGGCATCGCCACTGACAAATCGAAGGGTGATGTACGATGTATGGCATTATCACCAGCTTCTTGACTTAAAAGATCGAACTTAAATAATACACCAAATCCTCGGACCTGTGGACATGCACAAAAGAATTTAAAAACCAAAAAGAACCACAACTTCTGTTAGGTATTACATATTTTATAGATTTTGTACTAGGTGCACCCCAGGCCTATTTGTGTTGGGCTATGAAGATTGTTTAAACTAGCAGAAGGTTATGGTCTCTAATGATCCATTATTTATATGAGCTATTACTTTTTCTCTGGTTTAAAACAGAGAGAAAGATAATCTCCAATGACTAAAAATTACTTGATAAACCCATAATAACAGATTAACCCTTAAACTGTCCAAACGTAGATCTATTTTTTTTTTTACATTTGAAAGCACATAAAATAAAACATAGATCTGTGTTCAGGGCACTAGTGGTGCAAATGTAGATCTATGTTTGGACTGCTTAAGAATTAAATACCAAGCAGACTCTCCTTTCAGGTTCTGACCAGGTAACATGATATAACATGGCAGTGTCTTGAATGAACTCGCTTGTCTGATGTTTTCTTCTGTCACTGTTGCAAAGGGAAGACCACTGAAATGCCTATCATAGAGGACAGCTACTCTATTACTGTATACCCACCACAATAGTACTGACACTAAATAAGAAGTTCTTTCTTTAAATTCTTATATATATCAACAGGTTAGGGGCCCTCTGCCATGAGGAACTTATTCACTGTGCACTGTGCTCTTATTAAATTTGGCAGTCATCTGCACAGTTGCTACTCTGTGGTGTTATCTTGGCATTCATCTATGTAGCTGCTCCTGTGTTGCTATCTTGGCATTCAACGGTGCAATTGCTACTGTGGTGTCATCTTTGGCAGTCATCTGTGCAGGTGCTATTGTGGTGTCATCTTTGCATCTCGGGATAATTTCAGAGTTTGGTATGAATCTCAGCAGTTCATAAGATTTTTTGCCAGCTACTGATTTAAAATCAAACACTTAAAGATGACATTACTTTCTAGTTCTGGAAATTCACTAATATTTTTTTGTAAAGCCAATCCTAAACAAATTCTTCTGGACATACCTGATATGGGGCATCATGCAGTGTATGGGGAGGGGCACGGGCAAGAGGTGTGTGGGTAGATCGACTGGAGTTCAAAGTGTCTGTGAGTAGAGTCTTGAACTGTGCTAAGGCAGCCTGAGCCCACAATGCTGGCCCACATTCCACACAATATCTGTAAAATACTACAATGATTACTACAGTTTTCCCTAAAATTGCCTCCTTACCACCAACTAAATTCTTCCGTTATATTCTCAAGCTGCTACCCTTAAATCAATGTTGCATCTTTGCAACCACTGCCATGTAATTTGAGTCAATTTCCATTAGCTATGTACCAGTCAACTGTACATTTGTTTAAAGGTATTTTAGGAACTATTTTTTTTTTTTTTTCAACAAGTCGGCCGTCTCCCACCGAGGCAGGGTGACCCAAAAAAGAAAGAAAATCCCAAAAAAGAAAATACTTTCATCATCATTCAACACTTTCATCACACTCGCACATTATCACTGTTTTTGCAGAGGTGCTCAGAATACAACAGTCTAGAAGCATACACATATAAAGATACACAACATATCCCTTCAAACTGCCAATATCCCAAACCCCTCCTTTAAAGTGCAGACATTGTATTTCCCATTTCCAGGACTCAAGTCCGACTATATGAAAATAACCGGTTTCCCTGAATCCCTTCACTAAATATTACCCTGCTCACACTCCAACAGATCGTCAGGTCCCAAGTACCATTCGTCTCCATTCACTCCTATCTAACACGCTCACGCACGCTTGCTGGAAGTCCAAGCCCCTCGCCCACAAAACCTCCTTTACCCCCTCTCTCCAACCCTTTTGAGGACGACCCCTACCCCGCCTTCCTTCCCCTATAGATTTATATGCTTTCCATGTCATTCTACTTTGATCCATTCTCTCTAAATGACCAAACCACCTCAACAACCCCTCTTCTGCCCTATGACTAATACTTTTATTAACTCCACACCTTTTCCTAATTTCCACACTCCGAATTTTCTGCATAATATTTACACCACACATTGCCCTTAAACAGGACATCTCCACTGCCTCCAACCGTCTCCTCGCTGCTGCATTTACCACCCAAGCTTCACACCCATATAAGAGTGTTGGTACTACTATACTTTCATACATTCCCTTCTTTGCCTCCATAGATAACGTTTTTTGACTCCACATATACCTCAACGCACCACTCACCTTTTTTCCCTCATCAATTCTATGATTAACCTCATCCTTCATAAATCCATCCACCGACACATCAACTCCCAAGTATCTGAAAACATTCACTTCTTCCAAACTCCTCCTCCCCAATTTGATATCCAATTTTTCTTTATCTAAATCATTTGACACCCTCTATCTTATTTATATTTATATCTTATTTATATAAATTAAAAACTGCTCAAATGCAAGGTAACAGATAAACTTATAGAGTTTCACTTGCCTTGTAAATCAAACAAGCAATGAAGCACACTTCAGCTTATGAACTATGTTCCATCACACAATTTTGAAAATGGTTATGGATAATTACAACAGCAATGTAAAAACCACTGAAACTAGGAAAATGCTTCTTTAATGCAATAAAAAAGATCAATCTGACAAAGAATAATGTGCATACAATGTGAAGGAAAATTTAACGAGGCCAGAGCAGACACATCTACAAACTTAAAAACTGAGCCTTAGCTAACAGTCTTTCCTCAGAGCAGTGTATGGTTCACCCATGTACACATAAGTGTATTACACAGATTTAAAATGCAAATCCTGTACAAGACTCATGAATTAAGAGAGACTAGGCTGCATAAATGCAAGAATTATGTGGATTAAAGTAAAGGTTGGATGCGAGAAGTGGGTCATAATAAGTGTGTATGCACCTGGAGAAGAGAGGAATGCAGAGGAGAGAGAGAGAGATTTTGGGAGATGTTAAGTGAATGTATAGGAGCCTTTGAACCATGTGAGAGAGTAATTGTGGTAGGGGACCTGAATGCTAAAGTAGGAGAAACTTTTAGAGAGGGTGTGGTAGGTACGTTTGGGGTGCCATGTGTAAATGATAATGGGAGCCCTTTGATTGAACTTTGTATAGAAAGGGGTTTAGTTATAGGTAATACATATTTTAAGAAAAAGAGGATTAATAAGTATACAAGATATGATGTAGGGCGAAATGACAGTAGTTTGTTGGATTATGTATTGGTAGATAAAAGACTGTTGAGTAGACTTCAGGATGTACATGTTTATAGAGGGGCCACAGATATATCAGATCACTTTCTAGTTGTAGCTACACTGAGAGTAAAAGGTAGATGTGATACAAGGAGAATAGAAGCATCAGGGAAGAGAGAGGTGAAGGTTTATAAACTAAAAGAGGAGGCAGTTAGGGTAAGATATAAACAGCTATTGGAGGATAGATGGGCTAATGAGAGCATAGGCAATGGGGTCGAAGAAGTATGGGGTAGGTTTAAAAATGTAGTGTTAGAGTGTTCAGCAGAAGTTTGTGGTTACAGGAAAGTGGGTGCGGGAGGGAAGAGGAGCGATTGGTGAAATGATGATGTGAAGAGAGTAGTAAGGGAGAAAAAGTTAGCATATGAGAAGCTTTTACAAAGTAGAAGTTATGCAAGGAGGGAAGAGTATATGGAGAAAAAGAGAGAGGTTAAGAGAGTGGTGAAGCAATGTAAAAAGAGAGCAAATGAGAGAGTGGGTGAGATGTTATCAACAAATTTTGTTGAAAATAAGAAAAAGTTTTGGAGTGAGATTAACAAGTTAAGAAAGCCTAGAGAACAAATGGATTTGTCAGTTAAAAATAGGAGAGGAGAGTTATTAAATGGAGAGTTAGAGGTATTGGGAAGATGGAGGGAATATTTTGAGGAATTATTAAATGTTGATGAAGATAGGGAAGCTGTGATTTCGTGTATAGGGCAAGGAGGAACAACATCTTGTAGGAGTGAGGAAGAGCCAGTTGTGAGTGTGGGGGAAGTTCGTGAGGCAGTAGGTAAAATGAAAGGGGGTAAGGCAGCCGGGATTGATGGGATAAAGATAGAAATGTTAAAAGCAGGTGGGGATATAGTTTTGGAGTGGTTGGTGCAATTATTTAATAAATGTATGGAAGAGGGTAAGGTACCAAGGGATTGGCAGAGAGCATGCATAGTTCCTTTGTATAAAGGCAAAGGGGATAAAAGAGAGTGCAAAAATTATAGGGGGATAAGTCTGTTGAGTTCTCCATGGGGAAGTGGAACAGAATTCTTCCTCCGTAAGCCATGCGTGTTGTAAGAGGCAACTAAAATGCCGGGAGCAAGGGGCTAGTAACCTCTTCTCCTGTATATATTACTAAATGTAAAAGGAGAAACTTTCGTTTTTCCTTTTGGGCCACCCCGCCTCGGTGGGATGCGGCCGGTGTGTTGAAAGAAAGAAAGAAGTCTGTTGAGTATACCTGGCAAAGTGTATGGTAGAGTTATTATTGAAAGAAGTAAGAGTAAGACGGAGAATAGGATAGCAGATGAACAAGGAGGCTTTAGGAAAGGTAGGGGGTGTGTGGACCAGGTGTTTACAGTGAAACATATAAGTGAACAGTATTTAGATAAGGCTAAAGAGGTCTTTGTGGCATTTATGGATTTGGAAAAGGCGTATGACAGGGTGGATAGGGGGGCAATGTGGCAGATGTTGCAGGTGTATGGTGTAGGAGGTAGGTTACTGAAAGCAGTGAAGAGTTTTTACGAGGATAGTGAGGCTCAAGTTAGAGTATGTAGGAAAGAGGGAAATTATTTCCCAGTAAAAGTAGGCCTTAGACAAGGATGTGTGATGTCACCGTGGTTGTTTAATATATTTATAGATAGGGTTGTAAGAGAAGTAAATGCGAGGGTCTTGGCAAGAGGCGTGGAGTTAAAAGATAAAGAATCACACATAAAGTGGGAGTTGTCACAGTTTCTCTTTGCTGATGACACTGTGCTCTTGGGAGATTCTGAAGAGAAGTTGCAGAGATTGGTGGATGAATTTGGTAGGGTGTGCAAAAGAAGAAAATTGAAAGTGAATACAGGAAAGAGTAAGGTTATGAGGATAACAAAAAGATTAGGTGATGAAAGATTGGATATCAGATTGGAGGGAGAGAGTATGGAGGAGGTGAATGTATTCAGATATTTGGGAGTGGACATGTCAGCGGATGGGTCTATGAAAGATGAGGTGAATCATAGAATTGATGAGGGGAAAAGGGTGAGTGGTGCACTTAGGAGTCTGTGGAGACAAAGAACTTTGTCCTTGGAGGCAAAGAGGGGAATGTATGAGAGTATAGTTTTACCAACGCTCTTATATGTGTGTGAAGCATGGGTGATGAATGTTGCAGCGAGGAGAAGGCTGGAGGCAGTGGAGATGTCATGTCTGAGAGCAATGTGTGGTGTGAATATAATGCAGAGAATTCGTAGTTTGGAAGTTAGGAGGAGGTGCGGGATTACCAAAACTGTTGTCCAGAGGGCTGAGGAAGGGTTGTTGAGGTGATTCGGACATGTGGAGAGAATGAAGCGAAACAGAATAACTTCAAGAGTGTATCGGTCTGTAGTGGAAGGAAGGCAGGGTAGGGGTCGGCCTAGGAAAGGTTGGAGGGAGGGGGTAAAGGAGGTTTTGTGTGCGAGGGGCTTGGACTTCCAGCAGGCATGCTTGAGCGTGTTTGATAGGAGTGAATGGAGACAAATGGTTTTTAATACTTGACGTGCTGTTGGAGTGTGAGCAAAGTAACATTTATGAAGGGGTTCAGGGAAACCGGCAGGCTGGACTTGAGTCCTGGAGACAGGAAGTACAGTGCCTGCACTCTGAAGGAGGGGTGTTAATGTTGCAGTTTAAAAACTGTAGTGTAAAGCACCCTTCTGGCAAGACAGTGATGGAGTGAATGATGGTGAAAGTTTTTCTTTTTCGGGCCACCCTGCCTTGGTGGGAATCGGCCAGTGTGATAATAAAAAAAAAAAATAGGCTGCAGTTCACAAATCCTTGTAACAATCCACACAGGTTTAGCATTTCATGAAATACACGGACAGTGCAAATGATCTGTGAATGAAGATGCTCACGACTTCTAGCAAAGGTGAATTAGTGCCTTCTTCTTTGGAGATTTCTAGCTTTAATAAGGTCACTCAACCAATACAGGTTTGACACAAGGGCTCTCAGTACAGAATGATGAATATGAAAAACTA